TCGCGCTTGTGTGTGTGTGCATGCGCGCGTGCGTGTGTGTTTGTGTGTGTATGTGTGCGTGAGTGTGTATGTGATTTCCACATGCTCTTTACGCTTTCAAAGTCGCAGGAGTTATCGGAATCTTTCTTTCTCCTTATCCAAAAAATGGAAAGAAATATGTACTGGTTGCGCCTTAACTTCCTGTCTGAAGCAAACACCGAGATTTATTTATAAGTCTCCTAAGCAGAGGCGTAGGCAGTCGGATGCGACAGAGGGGGAGGGGGGCTAGTGGGTATCATCCTTCAGCATCAAATTTTGTTTTCCGTTATATTCAGGGGCGACATTATTTTACTTCTACAATTTTAATTCCAAGTGATGTGGCAATATTTTAGCTTTAATCCTTTGCGACTTTTCATTTTTTTTTTTTTTTAAATTATTAATTTAACATTTGACGTAAATTTGAACGTGTGAGCTGAAAATAAAATTCGAACAACTTTCTGTCCGGCCAAACATCCGGTCGGTCAATTTTTACGTCGAAGAAATTTCTTTCAAACAAAATTTCCGGTAAACCGAACCCCAGCACCAAGTTCCATGTTTGTTCAACCCTTCCCTACTTCTGAATGTATATCCAATGCATATGAATGATACCCACCCAACACCATCCATTTGGGCCAATGTTTTTTTTTTTAGCACAGCGGCTCTACCTTGGCTCCACTATTGATTACATGAATTTATTCGACCAACAGATCAATAGTGGCACAGGGTATTTTATTTCATTTTTCGAACAAATCCAAAGGTTGTGTCGCTTTTTTTTAAAACAATCCCCCCCCCAACAAGACAAGGTGTGACGTCATCTTGACAGCTAAGACGCAAACTTCATACAAGGTCTTAGTGTTGATCGAATGGCCGTTCGACGTTCAATAGATGACTGAGCTGTTAAACATTTCGATTTCTTTAAATCCTTCGCTATGTGAAATTATTATCTGCAATTTTTTTTTTCTTGAGGAGAGGGGTATGGGGGCAAGGGGGTGCTTGGTTGTCCGAATCAGGCCTGCGCAACTCAGAATGTAAGGCGGGCCGTAATACTTGATGAAAAACGTGTGTGGGCCAAAATAAAATAGGACAAATGGCAAATCTATTAAAAAAAAATATAAGAATAAAGAATTATTCTTTACTTGCCGGGCTGCAACGTGGGTGCTGGCGGGCCGCATTTGGCCCGCGGGCCGTATGTTGTGCCGGCCTGGTCTCAATGACGAATCGGGGATCTTGACAATGTAATGCCTTTAAAGGGGGAATAAAAAAAAACACCAGGGAGGTAATTAACGTGCGCGTGTTGGAGTTGTGGCAGCTGGAAATGTTAAACTTTTTATTTTGAACTTCCGCAGATATGACTTGTCATTGAGACATGATTCCAGTCTAATGGGAATGGATACAGTTGGACGTGGCCCAAAATAAATGGAGATACAAAAGAGTCATTGTAATACTTTCAATCACAGAGAATCAATGTGTGTCAGCGGCTTGTCAAATAGAATCAGTGTGTGTCTTGTCACATAGAATCAGTGTGTTTCTTGTCACATAGAATCAGTGTGTATCTTGTAACATAGATGTTGTATTGTGTTTCTTTGGTGAGTCTTCTCTCATAAATGCAATGTTGTCTTCTTACAAAAATTCATTTCGTGTCTTCTCAAACAGATGCAATGAGCGTCTTCTCATATAGATGCGTGTGTCTTTTCAAATAGATGCAGTGTGTGTCTTGTCACATAGATGTAATGTGCGTCTTCTCACAAAGATGAAATGTGTGTCTTCTCACATAGATGCAATGTGTCTTCTCACATAGATGTTAATGTGTGTGTTCTCACATAGATGCAATGTTTATCTTCTAACATACATACAATATGTGTCTTCTCACAAAAACCTGTTCCGCTATAGCGTCTTTGACTCCAACTATAAGGAATCGATTCAAATTTAACATCCCGACTCCTTTAGTTTATCTCAGTCACGGCAGCCATGATGACGTCATGTTACTAGGCTCAGCCAAATACTAAGAGTGTAAAAAAATAGAAAAAAATACTATTGAGTACCGGTACTCCAATGGGTAAATAACATTTTACGCCACTTTCACACACACATTGTATTATTGAACTGTGAGGAGAATAGCTAATTATTGACCAGCTCTTCGACCGATCGATATTCGCCAAGGAATATAATGGATGTGAACCGGATGCCTTGTGAGCACAGACCTGTATGTGATGCCAATGTACGAATTTAAAATTAACAAAAGAAAGAACATTGGGGGTTCACATGGAAATATATGTCATTGAATTGTGACAAAAGAAAGAATAATGGAGGTTTAAATGAGAAAATATGTTGTTGATTTGTAACAAAAGAAAGAATAATGGAGGTTTACATGAGAAAATATGTCATTGAATTGTAATGAAAGAAAGAACATTGGGGGTTCACATGAGAAATATATGTCATTGAATTGTAACAAAAGAAAGAACATTGGGGGTTCACGTGAGAAATATATGTCATTGAATTGTAACAAAAGAAAGAACATTGGGGGTTCACATGAGAAATATATGTCATTGAATTGTAACAAAAGAAAGAACATTGGGGGTTAACATGAGAAATATATGTCATTGAATTGTAACAAAAGAAAGAACATTGGGGGTTCACATGAGAAATATATGTCATTGAATTGTAACAAAAGAAAGAACATTGGGGGTTCACATGGGAATATATGTCATTGAATTGTAAAAAAAGAAAGAACATTGGGGGTTCACATGAGAAATATATGTCATTGAATTGTGACAAAAGAAAGAATAATGGAGGTTTAAATGAGAAAATATGTTGTTGATTTGTAACAAAAGAAAGAATAATGGAGGTTTACATGAGAAAATATGTTGTTGATTTGTAACAAAAGAAAGAATAATGGAGGTTTAAATGAGAAAATATGTCATTGAATTGTAACAAAAGAAAGAATAATGGAGGTTTACATGAGAAAATATGTCATTGAATTGTAATGAAAGAAAGAACATTGGGGGTTCACATGAGAAATATATGTCATTGAATTGTAACAAAAGAAAGAATAATGGAGGTTTACATGAGAAAATATGTCATTGAATTGTAATGAAAGAAAGAACATTGGGGGTTCACATGAGAAATATATGTCATTGAATTGTAACAAAAGAAAGAACATTGGGGGTTCACATGAGAAATATATGTCATTGAATTGTAACAAAAGAAAGAACATTGGGGGTTAACATGAGAAATATATGTCATTGAATTGTAACAAAAGAAAGAACATTGGGGGTTCACATGGGAATATATGTCATTGAATTGTGACAAAAGAAAGAATAATGGAGGTTTAAATGAGAAAATATGTCATTGAATTGTAACAAAAGAAAGAATAGTGGAGGTTTACATGTGAAAATATGTCATTGATTTGTAACAAAAGAAAGAATAATGGAGATTTACATGAGAAAATATGTCATTGAATTGTAACAAAAGAAAGAATAATGGAGGTTTACATGAGAAAATATGTCATTGAATTGTAACAATAGAAAGAACATTTGGGGTTCACATGAAAATATATGTCATTGAATTGTAACAAAAGAAAGAACATTTGGGGTTCATATGAGAAATATATGTCATTGAATTGTAACAAAAGAAAGAACATTGGGGGTCCACATGAGAAAATATGTCATTGAATTGTAACAAAAGAAAGAACATTGGGATTTCACATGAGAAAATATTTCATTGGATTGTAACAAAAGAAAGAACATTGGGGTTTCACATGAGAAAATATGTCATTGAACTGTAATAAAAGAAAGAATAATGGAGGTTTACATGAGAAAATATGTCATTGAATAGTTATAAACAGGAGTTATGTAAAAATCATACAACAACATAAAAGCACTTCTATTGTAAACATTAGGAGCAATACAATTTGGACGGCCGCGACTAAGATATAAGGACGTTTGCAAAAGGAGCATGAGGGAAGCCAACACAGAAATCAAACGAATGGGAGATCATCCCTGAGCACAGGTCCAGCTGGCGAACAGCAGTGTATGAAGGCGTCAAACAAGGGCAGAAGATGCGCGAAAGGAAGGCCTTGCAACACACAGAGCATCACGGGAGGTCACATTGATCCAGGAGTCGAGATTGCCCTTCGAGAAGTGCAGCTGAGACTGTCATACCAGGATCAGCCTAGTAAGCCATTTGATTAAGTGTACATAGTTTCTTCAATCGTCTGGCGAAGATGAAAGGATTACATATATGAATATAAATAAATTGTTAATATTGGCGACATTTTCTTGGCAGGTTTTTGGAATGTAAGAATATAATTAATTTTTTAATTTGTTGGTACCAACAACAAAACATGCAATTATTAGAATATAACTTAGCGACTCTATTAGATGCATTCATCGAACAAGAACTCACCTCCATGCTAAATAGAGAGGCACTTTTGACTTCCAGGCTAATTCCAGAAGCACTCTTGACTACAAGCCTAGTTAAGAGTGGCACTTTGGCCTTCAAGGCACCTACACTGAGGCAAGTTCTCATGCTAAAGGCATTCATCGATAAACTTAAAGGCTTCCACTGCCACATACAACACCAGACTCACCACGTCATCCGCCACCAGCAGCATTGCTGCCCCAACACAACCTGTCACTATCACCACAGGCATCGGCTTCAAACCCACCCTCTCTCCTCCCCCCCCCCTGTTCAAAATTCATTTTAAAATGTGTAGGGTAAGGGAGCGAATCTATTATTTATTTATTTTTAAATTGCAGTTCTTTTCAATATTAACGTGTGATTTTGTTGCATTAAGTAATAATGATAATGAGAATAGGCAGAACTGTGTACTGATCGTAGATTTATGTACCGGGTATTCACTTTTCTCTCTGTGTGTGTGTGCCCCTTTTTCAACTTTGTACTTGTACCAGTTCATGGAAAACTGTATTGTAAGGGAATAGCCTTATTTTTTTTTTTTTTTTTTTTTTTTTTTTTTTAATTCCGTTTGATTTTGTAATTTTAAATTAATTTCATAAATTATTATTCGCAATTAGCCCTAGTTTAGGTGTGGTTTCTTTATTACAGTATTTAATCAATGGAATCGTCTTTTGTTGTGTACTGGTTGACACGGGTCACAGAGTAACATAAGAGATTACGTTCTCTACATTATAGACGTCCGTAACACAACCATCCCCGTTCATCGCAACCCTAATATGCCGGTTTGTGCTCATTGGGTGGGAGGGGAAGGGAGGCAAAGACCTCCTTGCATTAGTGTTAACTCGAGTTGTATCATTAAAATGGCCTAGCAGGTTTATAAAATTGTAAACATAAATTAGCAAGTTGTGTGTGCGTGTGTGTGTGTGTGTGGTTGGGGGGGGGATTTGTTGGGGGTGTGGGGTGCGCAGGTTCTTTACACAATTTAAAATTTATTTCGGGCAGTGAGGATATTTTTGTTTTTAAATTTTCCTTGATTTTGAGCACTTACTTAACAAGGGACGGATAATTCATGTTGAGAACAAAAACTTTTTTTTAGCTATCTTACGACAGGTCTGTCCTAATATATTAGTTGAAAGAAGTGATTGCATATATATATAGCCGTAACGTGACTTTTGGAGAGAGGGGTCCCCAGCCCAGCACACTTTTTATACTTTTTTTGTTATTTAGTTATTCCATGCAATTTAAATGCTCAATTTATGTTTTACCCCCAAATCGCATTTATTATTTTCCCCCACAAATGAGCGAGGCCCGAAGCAGATACGGGGCCCATCAGTGCATCCATGTTATCCAGCCCGATCCAGCCGGGAGGGTAGTAATCCTCTCGGCTGAAGCCGTCTTCAAGCCACGATCCGTTGACCACAAACTTGCTGTAGTAGATCTTCACCCCGGGACTGAGCCAGGCGGCCCACCAGCCGTACGTCCCTCCGGACAGCACCACGTGATCACAGTTGGCCAGCACCGCGAAGTGGACCAGGGGCGACTCCTCGGTCACGATCCTCACGTCCGGGTCTTTGAGGTTCTCCTTGCACCAGGTCAGATCGTCGCTCGCTATCAGGAAGGTGAAGTTCTTATCTCGGAACAGCTCTCGAATGGTTTTGAAGGCGTTGTGGAAGTACGAGGCCTGCGGCACGCCGTATCCTAGTTTGACGTTGTGGTCGGCCAGATAGTCCCCGCGCCGCACGTGAACCCCGACCAGGAAATTGTCGCCGCTTTCGTTTCTGAATTTCTCCAAGTGCTCCTGGGCTTTTTCGAGTACCTCGTCCTTGAACTTGAACTCTCTCCTGACCTCGTCCTGATTGTGATGAAAGTAGCGCCATGACTGGAAATATCCGAAAATGGTTTTGTTCACGTGGGTCAAGTTCATGAACTTGGGGTCAAAGGTTGCATAATGGGCTTCAGCTTCATTTTCCCACCTACAAAACGGACAGGGGTGGAGAAAAAAAAAAGATACATAAATATTATTTTTTGTTAATTATCCAAAACATAAACACTTCACCTTTAAATAAATAAATGGTGGCAAGCTCTGAAGCTGAACTTTGTCATGGCGTCTTCAACAAAAAGGGGAAATGGGGAATTCCCTAATTTTTTTCTTTCAACAATATTGACTTGCATTGTTCATTACCTACTAAACGATTCCCTTTATTTTAATGGCTCCCAAATTCTTCATCGCAGCCATCGTTCGGTGGCGAACTGCCCAAATTCTTCATCGCAGCCATCGTTCAGTGGCGAACTGTCCAAATTCTTCATCGCAGCCATCATTCAGTGGCCCACTGCTCAAATTCTTCATCGCAGCCATTATTCAGTGGCGCTCTGCCCAAATTCTTCATCTCGGCCATCGTTCAGTGGCACACTGCCCAAATGCTTCATCGCATTCATCGTTCAGAGGTACACCTTGAGAAAACCCTTTAGCAAGCCATGCCACATCCACAGTTACATCAACCTAACAACTCACCCAATCCCATTACATCCACAATGTAACGTTACCCTAACCACTCCTCAACCAGTCTCATTACATCCACTATGTTTCGTTACCCTAACCACTCCTCAACCAATCTCATTACATCCACTATGTTTCGTTATCCTAACCACTCACCCCAACCCAATTACATCCACAATATTAAATTATCCTAACCAGTCACACGGTCGAGTCTATGCTCCTCGCCCCAATCTCATTATATCCACAATGTTACATTATCCTAACCACTCATCCAATCCCATTATATCCACAACATTAAATTATCTTAAGAACTCACCTAATCCCATTACATCCAAAATATTAAATTATCCCAACCACTCACCCGGTCGAGTCTATGCTGTCGTTAAGGTGAGTAATTTGAAACGTGGCCTCCAAGTCCGTCCCGCTCTTGATGAAAACCGTCCTGTTCTGAGCTCGGGCGATTCCGATCAGAGCTGCATAGATAAACATTTGATTGCCCAGTCTTCCGGTGAAGGCCGATGTGACGTACAGTGGCTGGACGTTTCCGGATAAGGCAGCCGTAGCAGCACTCGTCACCTCAAGTGCCGTTGACTCGGTGTAAACGGTTGGAATGTCCGCTGGTGAATCAGTCAAACCCGATGGACTTAGAGAAGCACCTTCAGCAGTGGGGCTTGAGGCTGTTGAAATGCTTAACGCATTGTTAATATTTGTAGAGCTTTCTGTTGTAGAGCGATTGGAAGTGGTATCTGATGTTGATTCTTTGGTTGTTGGGGACAAAACCGATTTTGTGTAGACAGAGGAGTCGGTCGCTGTCGACTCTTTGGTTGGTATTTCTCCAGCTATTGCGGTAGTGACTGGACTTAAAACTTCCTCCACTGTGGTTTTCGAATCTACATTTGATTGTTCTGCAGCCACGGAAACAGTTGTAGCTAGACTTGAAGTGTCCGTTCCTAAAGCGGCTGTAGCTAGATTCGAAATATCAGTTACTGAAGCGGATGTAGCTGAAATTGAAATGTCCGTCAATAAAGCGGCTGTAGGAAGACTTGAAATTTCTCCCAATGAAGCGGCTGTAGCTTGACTTGGCGAAAGGCGTTCAGTCTCGTGGACTTCAGGTTGGGTAGTAGCCGGCGTGGAGAGACCACTCCTTAGAAAAGTGGTCGTTAAATCGTTGGTACCAGGCGAAAATGCTTTCCGGGCAGTTATGGAGTCTGGAATGTTGGCATGTGCCATACGTATGCCCTGATTCGAATAAGGTCTGGAAAAAAAAATAATATGTGGAGTTACTTCAATTTCTTTGATAATTGAATTATAATTTGTTATTGTGTTATTTCACCTTAGTTAATAATCGAATCTTAATTTATTTTTTTTAAATGTGTGCATTTATTTTACTTTAGGTGATAATCGAATATTCATTAGTTGTTTTTTTTTTTTAAATATGTGAAGTTTTTAGTTTAATATGTAATCCATTGTTTTAAATATATGACATATTCCTAATTATCTGAACTCATCTCTTACTATAGTATGCTTATTTTTTTTATTTATACCATCCTTTTCAGTTAATGTCTATTGGCTTGTGTTGCTTATGGTTGAAACGGGATGAAAGACTTTGACTGGGTATGCTCGTATGTAGCTTTATATTGTTACGTCTGTTTTTAAATGTGGTAAATTTTAGATTGTTTTTATTTCTCTTTTTAATATGGTTGACTTTGTACCGCGCTTCGAGCTTTTGGGGATGAAATAAACTTTATTATTATTATTATCATTATTTGACAACTTTATTGACTGCAGTTTGCGGTAAATATCAAGATTATGTTTAAATCATCACAATCGTTTATGTGCACAGTGACTGTCAAGTTTACTCACGTGACCGCCAGATAGATGAAGGCGAATCCAGCGACACAGAGCAGAAGCAGCACTTTGAAGATGTTCCATCTCGACCAGAACAAGACAGCACATGATCTTGGACCTTGGTAGCTGGAAAACGGAACAGCTTTCTATCAATCAATTTTATAATCATTATAACATCGAATGGCATATTCAGTACAACATCTGATCACACATTTGCTACAACATCTGATCGCACATTCAGTTCAACTGTTTGTACATTTAGTACAACCTCAGATCGCACATTCAGTACAATATCTGATCGCATATTCAGAACAACATATGATCGCACATTCAGTACAGCATCTGATCCCACATTCAGTGCATCTGGCTGTCAATTTAGTATAACATCTGAATTACAAAGCAACGCCAGGACTTAACCCCGAATGGGGCAATTTTTTCTAACGTTTGTAAAACACATTTTTATGGCATATCATTAGGAATATGTGAGAGCCCTTGACCCAGATGAATGTACCCGACCATAAAAAATCAAATTCTCTTTTCAAAAGTCTCGTTGCTAAATAAGATGTTGCCTGTTACAATGAGGTCGAATAATATAATATAATATAATTAGGCCTACTACAAAGATGCCTACTACAATGAAGTCTACTGTAATGAGGTCTACTACAATGAGGCCTACCCCAATGAGGCCTGCCACAATGAGGCCTACCACAATGAGGCCAACTGCAGTGAGGTCTAATACAACGAGGACTACTATAATGGGGCCAACTACCATGAGACCATCTTCAATAAGGCCAACTACAATAAGGCCCACTGCAAAGGGTTATCACCACTTATGTGTCGGTACATTGACGGACCTCGGAGACTCAAGACTATGATTCAGGCCATGCATCATACCAAAGAAAAACGTAGATCCCAAACACCTGATCACGTTCCAAAGTCAGCGTTGCAGTGGTGGGAAGGTACAGTGATATCAAACGGAGGCCTGTCTTTCCGGCAACGAATACCAAGTTGCTCGCTAACATAAAAGCTTTGAAATTACCATCTCAATTAGAGACCGACCGAAAGTGATTTTCTGATTTCGGCCGAAGCCGAAAATAGGCCGAAATTTAACAAATGACTTTCAGCCGAAACCGAAAAAAGGCCGAAAGTTAAAAATGAATTTCGGCCGAAACCGAAGCCGAAACCGAAGATGAAATATTAAGATATTTTGAAATTCGTTCCCGCATACATTCTGCATACATCGAAAATGATATAGCGAAGTATAAATATTTACATTCTTTTTATAAAAAATAAGATAATCGTGAATATTAATAAATAAACATCTAATATAGGGGTCTCAAACTAGCGGCCCGCGAGCCCTTTATGACCCGCAAGATGATATTGCGGCCGGCTACATGACAGAAAAGTTTAGAGTTAATGCGCCGGCCCGTTTCCCCCATTCTCATATCTATAACGTGACTCTCCGCGACGGTTTCAGTCGAATCTCACCGACTAGTCTAATTCTGATTTTTTATTTATTTTTTTTATTTTATGTTTCTATATATTTTTGTATGCAACAGTGAGTAGGTGGGTGAAAGTGAATCCTTGTTCTTGAGAACCCGTAATGATGTTATTTTTATTTATAAAGGTTGAGCAGATTGTAACAGTTGTAATCGCTTTTTTGTGGATTGCTTGATGCGGCCCACTCTCATTCAGACATTACCTCTGTCGAGTATGAGCGTTCATTAGGAATTGTTGCGACTCAATATTATGTTCATTAGTTGTTGAACGCTTTTCCCGCGCTTGACTATTATAGTTAGTGAACGCTCTTCCCGCCATTGTATTTATGACGTATT